GTTATGAGTCCGGATGCACAGGAAGGCAGTGTTGGGTTGGGTTTGGGTTTGGGTTTGGGTTGGGCACCTGAGGGGTTGTGGGGGCAGGGACAAGGTCCTACAGCCATGAAAGCTAGCCATGGAGGGAGTGTTTTTGTGCACAGTGCATCGTTTTTGTATTTTCTATTATGTGCATGTGTTACTCATCGTCTAACTTAATCCAGTTATATTAAGCTTGGCCTCTCTAAAAGGCACATCTGCATGTCTATTCATATCAAGGCCAGGTTGTTTCCTCAACAGACAGTGCAGGAAGTCTGACCTTCTCCTGGGCCTGGAGCTCAGGTGAGCAGGGTTGAGGACGTTCGACCTCGTTTTCAGACCAAGTGGTGGGTGCTGCGCGGGCACCAGAAGATACACTGGTCATAGGAGGCTCCAGAGAACGCAGGCTGTGCCCCCGGGGGGCTGTTGTCCCTCCACACATGCAGGCCCCACTCTTCAGAAATGCCACACTGTTGCCCCACCCCACCTGAGATGAAGTAGTTTATTCCCAGAGGTCAGCGTGCACTGCTTCCTCAAGAAGAGGGAAGATGGTAACTAAGGAGGAAGATAAAACAGCCTCATCCTCTGGTATTCCTCTGGAATACCAGCACAACTTAGTCAGTGCTTAGCAATCCTATAGGGATCAGTCCTCTTCTGATCCCCACCAGTTGTGTGGCCTTGACAGGTTTGTGAGACTCTGAGCCCCCGTTTCTTCCTTCTTGAAAGGACAGTAGTCAACCTAGCCTCAGAGGGACAGCATAGAGATGGAGGATAGTGTGGGATGTAAAATGCCTAGAAAGCTACCTCGGATGCATATCGCAGGTGTGCGGTCAATGTCACAGGACATCAGTACCACTCTTCGGCTTGCACTGCCTTGACGATGCTGCTTTCCATCTTCCTGGCCCTGAATACATTTCTGGTCTCTGTCTCCATTCTTGAGTACAAGCAACAATATCCATTTCTCCAGATTGGGCTTTCCTGAGGAGGTGTCCACACTGGGCTGCTAACCTCAAGATCAGCAGTCCAAAATCACCAGCCACTCCAAGGGAGAAAGATGAGGCTTTCTACTCCCATAAAGAGCTACAGTCTCAGAAACTCACAGGGGCACTTCTATTCTACCCTGTCCAATAGGGTTGCTATAAATCAGAATCAACTCAATGGCAGTGGGTTGAGTTTATATTTTAAGAAGTATCTCACCAGATCTTTCCTCTAAGGTTGCTAGGTGCACTCAACCTCCAACCTTCTGTATATCAGCTGAGCATGTTAGCCATTCACACTACTGAATTGAAATCAACTCGGTGACAACTGATATCAGCCCTGTTGTTTTGTCAGGTGCCATTGGTTGGCTCGTACTCAAGCAATGATATGTGCAATAGGATGATACGCTGCTCAGTCCTGAGACATACTCACAATCGCTGCTATGTTTGGTCCATTCTTGCAGCTACGGTGTCACTCCATCTCTTTGAAGGTCTTCCTCTTTTTCACCGACCCTCCACTTTACCGAGCATGAGGTCCTTCTCCAGGGACTGGTCTCTCCTGGCAACATGTCCAAAGTACATGAGACCAAGTCTCACCATCTTAGCTTCTAAGGAGCATTCTTCTTCCGAGACAGACTTATCTGTTTGTTCCACAGTCATTGCCAACACCACGATTCAAATGCATCACATCTTCTCTAGTCTTCCTCATTAATCGTGCAGTTTCCACGTGCATGTGGGGCATTCGAAAAGGGCCTTTTTGCTTTTTTAACCTATTCAGGAGGACTGATACAGCAGATTTGCCCAGTTCAGTACAACATCAGACATCTTAAGTGCTGCATCCAAGGATGCGGATTATAGATCCAAGTCAAAGGAAACCCCTGACAACCTTCCATTTGTCTTCATTTATCATTATGTTGCCTGTTGGTCCAGTTGGGAGGATGTTGTTGTTTCCTTCTATTGAGTTGTCATCAATATCAAAGACTGCAGTCTTTGCTCTTCATCATTCAGTACTCCAAGTCTACTTGACTTTAAGCAAACAAAGTTGTGTCATCTGTATATTATGGGCTAGTCATAGTCCTCTAATACCAATGTCACGTTCTTTTTCATGTAGTCTAGCTTCCTGGATCATTTGCCCAGTAGATAGACTAAGTCTGGTGTAAAAGAACACAACACACACCTTTGACACACACCTTTCCTGATTTTACGCCATGCAGTATTCTCTTGTTCTAACGACCGCCTCTTCGTCTATACACAGGTTCTCAATGAGCACAATTAAATATTCTGGAATTCACATTCTTCACAATGTTAACCATAGTACTTATGATCCACGCAGTTGAGTGCCTTTGCAGGATCAATAAAACACAGATAAATACCTTGCTGTTATTCTCGGCTTCCAACAGATCCATAAGACATCAACAATGATATCCCTTATGCCACAATGTCTTCTGAATCCAGCTTGAATTTCTGGCAGTTCCCTGTTGATGTACTGCTCCGCCATTTTAAATGATCATGAAGATGACAGCCTGGACAGTGTACAGTACAGATCTACTTCGTCATGTGGCGTCACTCTGAGTTCAAATCCACTTCATTGCACACAACAGCAACTGCGTGAGATGACAGGCTGGGCATTGGGTGCAAACGAGGAAGAAGACTAGCTTAGCTCCTGCCTCTCAGAAAGCTGACAGCACAGCAGCGTACACCTTTGAGGTGAGACAAATCATAGCATCGTGTTCACAAAAGTTCATAGGTGACATGTACAAGGAAGAGAAAAATCAGAACCACCTTGAGACATCTCAACTTCCTTTCCTGGAAAAGCTCTCTGAGGCCCATGTCTCAATTCTTGCTTTTGTCCTGGGGGGTTATTGACCAGGTCTGGATGGGACTAACTGAGGCTGCACTTAGGGGGGAAGGGGCCATAAATAAGTTGCTAAAGAGAACGCTATCGAAGCCCATGGGTTTCCTCTGAGCGCCCAACAGCTCGTCTGAGGATGGATTCGCTTTCATTGCCAACGAACATGAAAGCAGGTAACCTGTGGATGTGCCAAACGCAAACGTCTGGCCCAGCATCTTGACCCAGGAAATGTGAGCTTGCCTCCCACCCTCGGAGAGCCTCTCTTCCTACTTGGATCACGGGACCCCTTCAAAAGACAGTTCTGTACATCATGAACGAGCTTCTAATGCCCTCTGCTTCTGGGTAGTTAGACAGCCCATCACAAAGGCCTAGACTCAGGAATGAGGCAGAAAAATGGGCAAACGAGAGTCACTTCAAGGCTAACACCTGCAGGCCTGGTCAGCTCAGAACAAAGACACTGGTTCCCTGCTGTGTGATGGAGCCAGGTCTTGGCAGGGGACAAGGCAGGGTGGACCAGGCCTTGCACACTCACAGCTCACTTCACAGCTCTGCCCATTGTAACCCACTGTCAGTGAGTCCATGCCAACGCACAGAAAGCCAGTAGAACCGCCCCACGGGGTTTTCAAAGCTTACATCGTTATCGATGCATTTGAATTGTGGTGCTGGAGGAGAACATTGGAAGTGCCATGGACGGCGAGAAGAATGAACAGATCTGGCTTAGAAGAACGCTCCTTAGAAGCAGGGAAGGAGAGACTTCATCTCACATGCTCTGGACATCATGTCCGGAGAAACCAGGCCCTGAAAAAGGACATCATCATGGTTGGTAACATTGGTCAGCAACAAAGAGGAAGACCCTCAAGAGATGGTTTGACGCAGCGGCTGCAGCAACGGGCTCAAACATCACAACAGTGAAGGTGGTTGTGCTGGGCTGTCTTTGCGTTGGTTGTACGGAGTCCGTGTGGCTCCGAATTGACGCAGGGGCACCTCATCACCAGCACCAGCACCAGCACCAGCACCAGCACCAGCACCACTCTTTCTGGAAGCAGACTGCCACAGTGTCCTTCCCCTGAGCCTTTTCAAAGCACCAACCCTTTACCAGCTGAGCGCTTACCCACTGCAAACACCGCCACAGTCCCTTTGCAAAGGGCTTTTAAAAGGCCTTGGTGCCTGCTAAGAGGTTAAGCATTAGACTGCTAGCTATAAGATCAACAGTTTGAAACCACTAGCAGCTCCTTGGGGGAAAAGACGAAGCTTTCTGCTCCTGTAAAGAGTCCCAGTCTCAGATTCTCATCGGTAGGGCAGCTTCCCCTGTCCTAGAGGGTCATTATGAGCCACCAACGACTCAATGGCAGTGGGTTTGATTTGGGGTTTTGAGGTGTGGGTGGGTGACACAGTATTTTCCAGATGGAAACCACCCAGCAACACCTCAGAAGGGAAGTCTGGCCATTTTCGGTCATAGCGATGGTAGCCAAGAATCCCCCCTGGAACAGTGACTCTGACACATAGGGTGGTCAGGGGTCAGGATGGGGTTGCTGGTCTCTCTGCCCATTCGAGAAAAGTAAAGTTTGTGCTGGGGGTGGAGGGTGGGCAGAGAAAGCACAAGGAAACCTCAGGGTGGTCTGAGGCCCTCTCACCCAGGCCTACAGCCAATGCCCTGCATCCTTTCTGGGATGCTGGGGTGGGTGTTGTGGTCCGTGTCCCAAGGAGGTTCCTGAGCAGCTTTAAAACAAAACGTGTGTACAGGATGGGTGAACGTGTGCAGAGCACAGGCACTTCCCATGCCACAATTCATGCATGGTTTCTTCTTGTGACATTGCTTGCAGTCCCCACAAGGTAGCCCCACTCCTGCTGCTTCCTCTCAGGTTCCCGGTTCGGTTCCGGCGGGCGTAGTGTCTGTCTTCCCAGCCTCTCCAAGAAGCTCCCAGCCGGTGAAGACAGCCATATAAACCAACTCTGGGCGTCTGTCTCCCGACAGCCACCTCCCCACCGTCACCGCAGTCCAGGAGGCCCAGGTCCGAGTAGGCAGCCTTCTGCCAGCCCCGCTTCCCCTACGCCCTCCCCTCCCTCCGCCGCCTCCCCTGGCTTCCCCCACCTCCCACCCCTCCCCCAGTTATACGGGAGATTAGAGTTCATTAATTAAATCCGCTTCACAGATCGAACTGTAACATTATTCCAATCACATTTATCTTGCGGGCGGCGGCGGGGGATGGCAGCCTCGCTGGCAGCGCGCAGGGGAGCCTGAGCCGGCGCCGGGGACGCACGGCGCGCCGCGCTCCTCCGCCACGCCGCCACGCCGGCCCCCTATCTTCCTGCTGAGCCTCGCGGCCCGCGCGCGCCCCGGCCTCGGGAGCTCCGGCTCCTCTCCTGGCCCCTGGCCTCGCCGCGCGGCCCCCTCCGCGGTCCTCGGCCCCCGCCCCCGCCCCACACGCTCCCACGCGCGCGCGCGCACACACACTCACACTCACACACACGCACACCCGCGCGCACCCGCCAGCCAGCCGCTGGCCGCTCCATGGACCGAGTCCCCGGCCGTCCCTGAGTCCAGCCCAACCCGGGATGAGAAATTGCAAAATGGCCCGGGTCGCCAGTGTGCTGGGACTGCTGATGCTCAGCGTGGCCCTGCTGATTCTGTCGCTCATCAGCTACGTGTCCCTGAAAAAGGAGAACATCTTCACCACTCCCAAGTACGCCAACCCGGGGGCGCCCCGAATGTACATGTTCCACGCGGGGTTCCGGTAAGTGCGGGCCTCCGGCAGAGCGCCCTCGGGGGCCTGATGGAGGGGGACGCGGCGCGGGCGGGGGCGGCGGGGGTGTCCGGGCTTCTCCGAGACGCAGGGGGCGAGGGAACTGCGTGGTCCTTCTACTCCCTGCTCCGACCCCCCCACCCCACGCCGCCCCCAAGCCGGGAATCCCATGGTCGCATTTCTCGCGTTCTTCGGCACCCTTCTTCCATTTCAAAATCTCGGGGCGGGGCAGGGGGGCAGGGTGCAGGAAAGGGTGGTGGAGCGGGAGGCTGCGTGTCTTGGGGCGGCGGGAGGGGGGGGATGTCAGGCGGGGGGTGAGTGTCTGCCCCGCGCCCTGTCTGCGGACTGGGCGGCCGCGCTCTGGGCTGCCCCGGGCGGCTGGATGGCGCAGGCGCCGGCCGAGGCCCCCCTCGCTCTTCTCCGCTCCCTCTCCCCCACCTTTCTGGGACGTTCGAGCTGCTGCTCTGAGCTGCTGAGCTGCGCTCTCTCGACCCAGCCCCCTTTCTGGGATTTCGCAGTTCCCCCGCCCCCGCGGAAAGTGACCCTCCCAAGGGCCGGCTCCCCTGGGCACGGGTCTCAGCCTCCGGCGGGGCGCAGGGCCGGCCTGGGAACGCGCAACAGGGCGCAGATCCTCCGGAGTCCCCGCCCCTACCTGTGACCCCAGGAGCTCTCCCTCCAGGCCCTCCCGGGAGGCAGCCGGCAAAATGCTCGCTGCTCCTCGTGGTCCCAGCCGCGCCAACCTAAGACGCAGGGCCCAGAGCATCCCTCCGGGGCGGAGGAGCTGAGCTGGCCGGCGGCCTCTGGGGCCCCCAGCGTGGGGACTGGCAGTAAAAGCCGGCTTGGGCTCTGCGAGGGAAGAGGTTAAACCAAGAGCCACCCCAGCCTTTCCCGGGGTCTCCGCTCTGCGCTGCCCTTTTCCAAAAATCCATTTCCCCAGAGCAGCCCGGGCGCCGAGGGGCAGGCCGGCGCGGCCGCTGTCCGCGGTGCTGACTCGGGCGGGCTCCGCCGCGCCCGGGCTCCGGCTCCCGCCCCTGCGCTCCGCCAGACGGCCATTTTATGGTCGCTCCGTACCCGGGGTCTGGACAATGGAGACAGCTTTCCCGAGGCCTTGCCTCCCTGTGGGGTGTGGAGCCCTGAGAGTGGGTCAAAGGAAGGGCGGGGGGCTGGGGGCAGGATGGAGGCAGTGCGTGCGCCGCCGGCTGTCCCCTCCCCAGCCGGTAGGACTGGATGGCTACCCAGTGGGCCTAAGCTGAGGCCAGCAAGTTCGTGTGTGCTCATGCTTACCTCCAGGTCACAGTTTGCGCTGAAGTTTCTAGACCCGTCGTTTGTGCCCATTACGAAGTCTCTGACCCAGGAACTGCAAGAGAAACCTTCTAAGTGGACCTTTAATCGGACAGCGTTTTTACACCAAAGGTAGGGCAGTGAGCGGGGTGTGGGGGGGAAGATCCAAAACGTTGCTTTGGAGTTTTGGAAACCAGAAAGCAAAACTAAACTAACTAACTAAAAACCCAGAACAACACAAGACGCGCTGTGTTCTTGGCCGATGTACTTTCTTGTGAGAAGTCTACAGGATGACTGGTTTCACTGGGGGCGGGGAGACATGTCAATATCCTTCCTCCCTATCTGGGGCATAATTGAACACCATGATTTTAACACCAGAGGCAATACTGTCAGCCCCATCTATGTGTTAGTTTTGTTTTTTATAAATAGGGTTCATAGTAAAAAGACCACCCAGTGCATTTCATTACCCTGCTGAAAAAAAATTTTGTTTAATATTAAATGGTCTTTTTCCCACCAAATTCCCCGGAAAATACCATAATTCATCTCCAAATACATGCACATATTTAAGTGCAGCTTTGTCTGGGTTTTGCCGGTTTGCTTTCATTCCGCCTTTGCAGCATTAACTTTCCCATACTCTATGCCAACAGTTCTCAATCTGTGGGTCGAGACCCCTTTGGGAGTCAAGCGATCCTTTCATAGGGGTCACCTGATTCATAACAGTAGCAAAATTACAGTGATGAAGTAGCAACAAAAATGATTTTATGGCTAGGGGGGTCACCACCACATGAGGAACTGTATGAAAGGGTCGTGGCACGAGGAAGGTTGAGAGCCACTATGTTTCTTCATTCTTATGGCCCACGTCCTGGAGCATTTTAAACATGAAAGAGTTTGTTTGGGGTTTTGGTTTTTGAGGGGGTGGGGACGGAGGGAGCAGGAGAAGATGTATTCCAACTTAGGAATTCCCCTGTGTGATTTTGGTCTGCTCTTAGCAACCTGTGATAGGTCATTTAGCCCTGCTTGGTGGGATTATTTTGCTGCTAAATGGAATGTGAGCCATCTAGTGTATTCATTAGGGGAATGAATACTTCTTCTACAAACCACTGTATTTAGGGGCCTCAGGATGTGGTCACAGCACTTCGAGCTCTCGTGCCTCTCTCTTTAATTTTAACCTGCTAGTCGAATTTAAACAGGTTCAGTAGAGGTCTGTGGTGTCATGAAGACATGCCTGTTGACTTGAAAAATTAGCCTACAGTCATGTGTATCTGATTTAAGTTTTGAAATCTGGAATCTGCATAATTAGAAACTGCTTTATCAACACCATTAATGAATTCTATAAGGTCTATAATTTTATAGATCCTTTAAAAAAAGTTTGGATTTTTAAAATCCAATATCCATTTTACCGACATCCCAGAAAACATTCATGGGTAGAACACATTATCCATCTCCCCCCAAATATATTTCCAAACCAGTACAAAGTATCCTCTCCGCACGCTACCCAAATGACCATTCAGAACAGGGTCTCCTCTCCCAAATTCTGTCCACTTTGGGATCCCTTATTTGGACTTCATTCACTTTTTTACCAGTATCTTTGTAAATTTACCTTCACAACAACCTGTATTAGATATACTGGTAACTTTGGAAGTCGGGGTGAATATGTCTCTATTCCTTGAAGATTGTAGTCATTTTCAAAAGAATACAGTTCCAGTGAAAGTGATTAGATGCACCCTCATTCATACTGTATCCTAGGCAAAAGACATGAGAACCTATGTGATTCCCTAGTGTTAGGGAACTCAGCCTCAAAGTAGCATGTTATTTGTCTCTTAAACATTTTAAGCAGCTGAGACGTTAAAGGGAATGCTGACTTTTACTCAAAACTCAACATGAATGCTGCCTGGTTAGCTCTAAGTACCACCAGGCCTAACTTCCTTCTGAATTGTTAGAATAGATACGTTTTTATGATTTACAATAGTCTTCTCCAACCCAGCATTAGGCTTCTACAACTAAATTATGTTTCTATATAATCAAGCAGTAAAGTAACCCTGTTTCATTATTCAAAGGATCTTAATGAGATTATCATCTCATTTCTATTAAATATTCAACTACACCCACTATTACCATTTTCATATTTTAATAATAGATAATACTGTACTGACTCATATCTATTTGGCTCTCATTTGATACTTGATAGTCCTTGAGCATCCCAGTCCAACAGCAGGGCAGGAGCCCCTGGTTGCAAACGCTCCGTCGCTTGTGCTTGGGCGGTCCTGTGAGTTTTTCAAGGTGTGTGTAAATTGTCTCCCAGTGGTACCAACTACCTAGTGTGGCCTATGCCTCCCCTGTGACCATGGAAGGCAACTCTTCTTGTAGAACAGAAAGCCAAGGAAAGGCAACAAAAACCCTACATCACACTTTTTGCAAGTCTCCAAGGGGGCCTTCAGAACTTAACCGAAAGATCAACTCATTTCCATAGACTCTGAAACAGCCCTTCTCCCAAAGACCAGAATGTACAACCTTTCGTGGGTTCACTGTACCTAAGATGCTTCTTGTCTGAGTGAAGTGGCCACATTAAGACGTAAGGTGGAAAATCAGTTCTTTGGAATGGGATACATTTAATGAATTTCTTTTTATTTTAGGCAAGAGATCCTGCAGCATGTCGATGTAATAAAAAATTTCTCTTTGACCAAGAGTAGTGTTCGGATCGGACAACTGATGCACTATGATTATTCCAGCCATAAATATGTTTTCTCCATTAGCAATAACTTCCGGTCGCTACTTCCCGAAGTGTCGCCCATTGTGAATAAGCATTATAATATCTGTGCTGTGGTTGGAAATAGTGGGATCCTGACAGGGAGCCAGTGTGGACAAGAAATAGATAAATCCGATTTTGTTTTCCGTTGCAATTTCGCCCCTACGGAGGCCTTCCAAAAAGATGTTGGAAGGAAAACCAACCTTACCACCTTCAACCCCAGCATCTTGGAGAAATATTACAACAATCTCTTGACCATTCAGGACCGGAACAACTTTTTCCTCAGTTTAAAAAAGCTCGATGGGGTCATTCTTTGGATCCCTGCCTTTTTCTTCCACACTTCAGCCACGGTGACCAGGACATTAGTCGACTTCTTTGTGGAACACAGAGGTCAGTTGAAAGTCCAATTGGCTTGGCCGGGAAACATAATGCAACATGTCAACAGGTGTGTATGCTTCTTTGCATTTAACTCATACTCCTCCCAGATGGCAAATCAATTGTGTAATCTCAAGGGGGGGGGCAGGGGGCGGGGCAGCAAGCTTTCCAGTTATCGGGGTAGCGAACTCAGAACCGTAAGGCAAAGTCTCAACTGTTCTTTCATAAGGAATGAAAGAGCGGTTCTGGCTAAGGACTTCCATCTTCAACCCCGGGCTGGTAACCCAGTGCCAAATGGAACGACTGCTGTTTGGTCAACACCATACCTGGTCCCCTTTTGTTTAATCCCTGTCTCCTCTCTTGGAAGTTAGCCTAGTGAGTAGTTATGGAAATCACCCAATGAGCAGACTTTTGTTTTTAGTGCATAGCTATGTCCCCATGATGTAAAAGGCTAAATTAACGCAGATCAAGAGTGAGTGAGTGAGTGAGTGAGTGAGTGAGTGAGTGAGCGAGCGAGTGAGTAGAATATGCACTTGATGTAAATGTGTCCCTTTGGGGGAGATGCTTCCGTATTTTGCAGATTCCCAAGATTAGCCAACCACCTAGATAAATCAGAAATTGCATGATCTGCTGAGATCTGAGTGCAGAGCGAGGTGAAAAGTATTCCATGGGCACCTTGTGAGTGGCCTCTTGTAACCTGATGCACAGAGGTGTCAGGTTTCCGTCTTGCCTGGTGGTTGGTTCTCGGTGTCAGCTGGATGCTAGAATAACGTAGGAAACTTCAAAAAATACTTTGGCCCGGCCTCTCTTCCAAGAGATCCTGATGCAAGTGGTCTGGTGGGGCCCAGGTAGTTAGTATTTCTAACAGCTTCCCACAAGACCTCATGACACAGCCAGAAGTGTGATCCCAGACATTCTGTAAAGCCAGGTCTATTGTAGGGTGTCGTCCCACCATCTAAATGGCTTCAACTCCATTTCCCTTACACAAGTAGCCTCAATGCCCTCACACCCTATCCAGCTATTTATTATAAGGTAGCTTGTCCACTGGAATGCCTGGCAACAAGGAATCCTAAAGACTTTGACCCCTAACGTTACTCCGTAACGTACTATTCTGGTCCTGTAGTCACCTCAAGCCTTCCAAAGGGAAGGTCCTTTCATTTAGTATCTCAGAGAAGGAGGAATCCTACTCTTAAGGAGCTGTGCTTTACGATCCAAATTGGAGCTTTTTCTTTGAGAGAGAGGAAGCACAATTCTTAATTACCATATGCGTAACAAGCATATCCTGGGAACGGCTCCGTGTCCCGGGGATGTATGATCACCGTTTATAAGAGGTCCATATGGCCTGTCTCCTAAATGTAAAGATGAGAGAACTGAGGTGCTAAGAGCAAGCGTGACTAAGCCGCAGCCCCCGTGGGAATGGGGCAGAAGGAAGCCAGGCCAGAACTCGCAGCAGCCACCTGAACGCTGTAGGTCGGAGTGCTAACCCCCCTGACTGCAGCTTGTCTCTTCACCTAGAGGAGGAAAGGCCTGCCTCTTAAGGCGTGATGTGGGGAAGCGGGAGGTGCAAGTGCTTAGAAACTCTGGGAAACTGGCCTGTGTGGCAGACCTTCTGGGAGGCCCCTGGAGTTGGGCCTACTGCCCGACACCACACAGGTTTGAACCTGACACTGGTTTGATGAAAACGAAAAGGAACTAAGGCTCCCAGAAACCTGGTTCCTGAGCAAGTGAATCCCATCTGCATCACCAATGGTCACACACACACACACACAGCCTTATGTATTTGACAGTGCAGATCAGAAGGCTTCAGATTCCCATCATAGCTTAGCTTTTTTTTTTTTTGTAATTCTAAAAGTGTGTGAATATTTTTGGTAGGTCTTTTCAGGCCAAACAAGAGCTTGGGAACCCATGGTCAGGGGTTGGAAGACTAGGGGTACAGTTTTTTTGCACAAAAGGGTTTCCAAGCCAGGGAGAGAGGATTTGTTTCTGTTGGGGGAGGGAAGTGGCAAAGAAGGGGCCCGTAAACAACCACCCCACTACATCTGGTGGTCGCCTTCCACGGTGTCCCCAGTGAGTCATGGTCCCCAGTCTTGAAAAAGGCCCAGAGATAGGGCCAGTTTCAGAGGGGTGCGGCCCGCAGTCAGGAGGACCCCAGTTCCAACGGGCCTGCTCCTGACTCAGGGAGCTCCTACCACCCTCTTTAAAGTCTTACTCCTTTTCCACAATTGCATTTCCCACCGGGTTCCATGCCTCAGGTGGCCAGCCCTGCCCAGGGGTTGCTTGTGGTCCGTAAGATGGACTCACAGCGTCTGTTTCCGGAACAAATCCACCTCCCAGCCCAGTCAGAGCACCCCCTTCCCTCTGAAGCTGGAAGCCCTGACCTCTGACCCCACATGTACTTCTTGTTCCACAGGTACTGGAAAAACAAACATTTGTCGCCCAAGCGACTGAGCACAGGTATTCTTATGTACACCCTGGCATCAGCAATTTGTGAAGAGATCCACTTGTATGGATTTTGGCCTTTTGGATTTGACCCCAACACGAGGGAAGACCTTCCGTACCATTACTATGACAAGAAAGGAACCAAATTTACCACCAAGTGGCAGGAGTCCCACCAGCTGCCTGCCGAGTTTCAGCTCCTCTACCGAATGCATGGGGAAGGGCTCACCAAGCTGACTCTCTCACACTGTGCCTAAGGACTCCACTCGGAGAGTGCCAAAGGGCCCCATCCTTCCGAAAAGTGCCCCGTCCCCTTGACTAGGCTGCAGAGTAGAGCCCAGAGCAGCTCTTTCAAGGATGGCTTGCCCAGGCAGAGGACGGGCAGCGAGCCCTACTCCCTCCTCTGACTGTTTTTGAAGGGTCTTAGCAGGCTTCGCACATGGTTTAGGCAACGGTAGATAAGAGAAAGTGTTGCATTCAGAACGATGCTGCTAAGGAAACGGAAGTGTTTTCAATGTTTGTATTTCAATAATAAACTGCCTCCCCTTTCTTTTTTATCAGGATTAGGGCTGTCGTTTCCACCGCTCTGCTCAAACTGTGGCCCGGTCATCGTGGGCCTCTGGCCAATTTGGGCAGGTTCTTGGTTGTGCTGGTGGGATCAGACTTTTCAAAACTGGAACGATTTTTAGAAACCGGTTCGCTTCTCTCTCCCTCTTCCTCTCCCATTCCCCTCCTTCCCTCCTCTCTCTCCCTCTCTTTTTCTCCACTACCTTTCCTCTTGCCCCATCACCCCGGGGGCTTCATCATTCGCTTTGCTTGTGTGTTGGCATCTGTACTTGCTGTGTTTCAGGTTCTGGGTAACTTTGATGTTTCATGACAAACCGAACAAATCATGACAGGCCCCTTGTGCTGAATTTTAAAAGGAATGTCCCTTGGGAGGGTGTCAGTAGCGCCCCGCCCACCTCCCACTGCAGGGTGGTCCCTGTGCTAGATGGCAAACCTAGAGTGCATCTTTCAGAGCACACAGAAAGCAGGTGTCACTAGTGGCATGATGCCTCATGGTCCACATGCTACTGCAGCACACGGTTCTATGGCCACAGCTGTTCAGGCACCACCCGGGTGGGCTTAGTGCCTCCCTCAGTCCCCACCCAAGCACTGGGCCACCAGTCGGCTTTGATGCCCAGGAGAGAGAGAGAGGACAGGCCTGGAGTTTGGCTGTGCTCATGGAGTTGTAGTTTTGCTCAAGTGCTGGGGCCACGTTGTCCTGGGGAGCTGTTGAGAACCAGGGGGCTTAGAGCAGAAGAGGTTCAGGCTGGCCCCAGGTCAGCACCCAGGTGCCGCCACCACTGCTTGCGAACTTTTTGTTCTCCTCAGGACAACCATGCAACCTCTCTAGTCTTTCTTTCCACCGGACTCAAATCGGCACACCCACAAATGAAGCTCTTCGAAGGGAAAAGCCACGAGCCGTGGCAAGATCTGGCCCTCCGTAACTCTGGCCACTTGACGTTGTATAGTCTGCCACGAAAGAACACCTTGACCCTCCTTTCATGTGTTCCTGACTTCGGCCCACCGCTCCTGCCCCTGGCTTCTCCCTGAGCGGCGCTCTGTGCTTCCAGGGCAGCCCCAAGTCTGGCCAAGTGAACATTAAATTTTAATAAGCGTTTCTATCTCCTGTCAAATGCCAGTCGAGCACATTTGTTATCTATCTGAGTGGAGTAGCTGTTCTTTTTCCAGAAAATGCTTCTAGGTTCCTTGCACTGTTACAAACACCATCTGAAAAGAAAACAAAACAAACTCGCATTTGTTCCGTAAGCGGTTCGTGGCCCTTCCTTGGGAATGTCACTCATTCCTGGGCCTAAACCAAATGCACAAGGAAAGTGCACACCCAGGCTCCTCTGCTGCTGGTCATGGGGGAAGCGTCTCACTGATTCTCTCCAGAGAAGGAACTGAGCAGAGAAGCTGACCGAGAGTGAGCCAGACAGTAACTCACGCCAGAAAAACCATCCCAGCCCAATGCCTTACCAACCCTCGCACATCTCCCTCCCCGTCACCGCCGGTGTGTGGCAGACATCCCGACAGGTGGAAGCAGGGAATGAATAGACATTTCAAAGTGGGGGAAACTCGAAAGGAGGCTGTACCCGGACGAATTAGAGGGGAGGTACTGAAAGCATAGTTAAGTCCGGGGGTACAATGGGATGGGTGTCAAAGGCACAGCGACTTTGTTCCTCCCCTGTGCCTTCAAAGGGGACCAAGCCACGTGTTTCATGCTGTGCTCATGTGTGTGTGTGTGTGTGTGTGTGTGTGTGTGTGTGTGTGTGCGCGCGCGCGCGCGCTCTATTAAGATAGCAGATTGATAACTGCCGGAGTGTTTAGCTGGCCACTCCTGAGCACTCCGTTCCCTTGGTTATGGCAAAGTAATATTAATGCCGATATTACACCCGCCAGATTCTGACTCGGCGCGTTCATCCCATGGTTCATTCTGTTTCACTAATCGCAGACAGCTTGGACCAGGCCAGTGAAAAGCGCAAAAGATCAGAATCCCTAAATTCAGTTCATGTTCTGTGCCTGGGCCATTTCAATCTGAGCTCCCTATAATGCCAAGATGTTTGTCTTGTAAATTCAGTGGGGGGTGGAGCGGGGTGGAGAGAGGGGTGTCCAAATCTCACCACTCTCTTTCTCTCTCTTTTTTTTCCTGAGATGAACTTCTTTGTCCCTAAAGACCCCAAAGTTCATTTCAGACTCGGCTCCGTCTTCCAGTGAGTGGACGGCCCCGGCTCCCAGCCTGTGCCTTTGACCTGCTCACACTGGAACTTGGGCTGTGGAGGAAACGGTCTCGCCTTCCGAACGTGAAGAGCTCACAGGTCAGGCTCGCCCCTTGCTTGAGGAGGAACTTCCCGGAAGCTCATCCTCAGAGACCACCCTTCTCTTTTCTTGAAAATTTCTTTTAAAAAAATCCCAGCCCTCCTATAATGGTGAACCACAATTCTCCTGATATATGTTATTAAAACAAAAAACCCAAACCTGCTGCCACCCACTCCATTCAACTCAAAGTCCCCCTGCGCAGGGTGTAGGCGAAAATCCTTCTGGGTGAAGGCAGCCTGACTTGACCTCCGATGGGTCCACTGCAGAATGAAGTGAGCTATGTGGACAGGATGTATCCCGGTGTCTGACCCAAGAGAAGCGCACAGTAAATGGCAGCTTGGATGATTGTGTTTGCTCCTTTTGCCCTCGGCCTGCAGTCCAAGCAGAGATAACAGCCTCTAACCAATCACACCAGGTCTCTTGTTCTTAAAGACTGTTTCAAAGGTTAAACCTAGGTAACCCCTGGCAACAGGGCCGCTGGGTGTCTCCTGACTGCTGTGCTCCGTGCCCCGGCGCTTGCTCTCTGAGCCCCGGGTAAGTCGTCCTTTCCCCAGAGCCTTTCCTCTCCCCTTTGGGGAGGATCATGGTAGACTCTGCCTTCAGCTCCTGGAATGAATCCCACCAAGGAGTCATTCGTGTGACCCCCAACACAAAGGGCCGTTGGAGACACAGGAGGTAGCGCTGAGAAGAACCCACCAGCACACGACTGCCTGCGGACTGCTAGACTCTCGGTGGTTCTGTGGGGGGGTTCTGAGTGTCACGTGCAGACTTGTAGAACCAGGAGAGGCCAGGTTGAGTGTGATGGCAAGAATGCTTCTCGCTTCTAAAACTCTTCCCCTGACTTGGTAGCTGAAAGGTCTTTGGGTCCTCAGCCCTGTGGCTGTCTGACGTCTTTGACAGCCATGAGTGTGCTTTGTGTGGGTAGGAGTTTGTGGTTGCTACACAGTGGCTGTGGTGCTGGCTGGCTGTAACCTGGCTGTCAGGTACCTGACCTTGGGGCTACCAGCAAGGATGTGCAAAGAGAGGGCCTCCCCACCCTCCTTGTGATCAAGCCACCGGCATCCCGCTGGGTGGGGAAGTGCCTGGGCAAGCCTGTTTGGTGGGGAAACTGAAAGCTGAAAGGTATTTCTTCTGATTTGGGCAAGGCATCCTTTAGACAGGCTCAAGCCAGAGGAAGCGTGGCTGTGGGCCAAGGGAAGCAGGGTCCAAATGCTGGAATCCTAGGACACGGGAACTAGAAAAGACCCTTGAGCTGGCCTCGTCTGAATTCTTAGCTTTATAGCCATGAAAATGGGGACATGGAAAGGTTAGGTGATGGGCCCAAGATGACACGAGTCGTGAGTGGAGTTACTGGGACTCCTGTTCCGTGCTCCCTGACCTCATTAGCACCCAAGGAGGATGAGCCAGAGGAAAGTGACTTGGGTCTGGGATCCACAGGGTACATACACAAATTGCAAAGAGTAGACAGGTGGGGGAAAGACCTCCCCAAATAGGTATGTATTTTAGCTCTCATTGTCAAAGAATAAAGGGAGTCCTTGCCTGGGTACCCCACAACCCATGGTAATCCCTCCCTGAAATGCGAGAAGATTCCCTTGGTAAATCATGATTCTGGTTCATCACAATTCAGTTACTGGCGGCTCATGGGTGACAGCTGGAATCTTACCCAATATGTTCACCTTAATAAAACCTTGTTTCAGTGAAGTGCGCGCACAATTTAGACGTTGAGTGCTGCAAAGAGTGACGTGCTCCGTAGGTGTAATTTTCACCCCGGGGCCCCAGAAGGTAAGGCACCCTTGTCAATCAATGCCTTCCTTATTCAAACAGCCTTTGAATTACTGTGCTTCGTTTCCTATGCCAAGAAGATCTGTAATTGGTCGTGAATGTGTAAGAGGAGACGCGGAGCAATGTTCTGCTTCTGTCTGGATCCTTAATTCATGTTTTCCCATCATCCAAATGCTCCTAGCAAGCGTATCTGTTTAGCCTCTGCTTTTGCCTGACTGTGGGACCTGCCCTTGGGTTTAGAGAGACTTGGGCCCGTGTGTGTGGCTGAGGCCCCCAGAGAGTGCATTGAGGTGCCGGGGATTGAGCTACAATTCATCAAGGCCATCGATGAGTTGGCACCAAGGATGAGAATGACTGCTCATGCCACATAGATGGAACTCCGACTGCTCAGCCACATAGACAGAACTTTGGAATGGGAACATTTCTGAATGCCATTATTATGTGGCGGTGTTTCGTAAGATGTGTTTGTGTTGTGGTGACTTATTATTGAAGGCGTGGGTGATTATCGATGCCTGTTTTTCAAGGAATCACCTCCTCTTGTTACTGATGGCAGTCGAATCACCACGAAGACACGGTCCCAGAGAACTGACTCCACGTTAAGGTGGTGGTGGAGTTGGAGGGCTGCAAGCTGGATCCTGCACTGAGCCAACAGCAAACAAAGGTCGTGTCATAGATTTTGTCGAGATACAAGTCTTGCTCTCCACTCAAGACCTCTGGGTCAGAATGTCTGGGGATAAGTCTCACGGGACAAAGCCCTGCCGGTGATTCTGCTGTGGTCAGTATTGTGGAGCCATGTATGACAGTTTGACCGAAGTAGCTGAAAGCCTATTATTCCTCATGCAATTAATATCAGATCTGTACCTGGAAGTTATTCTGAAACGTGATGACATAGATACAGTCTTGGTGCCCCAGA